GGGCGGTTCACTCACGTGCTTGCTGGCATAAGGAAACGTAAAGTTCTTTTTTTGGATGAGAAAGCAAACGTTTTGGACGCCATCCTGAAGAAAGGGCTGAGATCACGAGCACTCGGGAAGTGCTCGACGTAATGGACGTACTGAGGAGGTACTGTACACGGCGTCGCATAGGCAGCAAGATGCCGTGCAAGCGCTTTGGGCGCTCGAACGCCGTATGACGCCGCTGCTACTGTCGGACAAGGCGTAAGTAAAACTCGCGGACTACTTTGCCCCAAAATAAATGTCATTTTCGGTGAGTTTTCATACCCGTAAAATGTTTCGGAATTTTTTTTTTTTTTTGCATGCTAAAGCCAAATTTCGATTTAGCGAAATTTCAATGTAACGAAGTAAATTGCGAATTTTACCGACTTCGTTACATCGAGGTTTAACTGTAGTAGGAAACATCTATAATAGAAGAACGGTTAGCCTGGCATAGGCCGGCATTATTGCCACTGGAAACTCGATCTCGGTACGGCGCCAGCAATGTTGCTGTGGCGACGAGCGGCGTGGCGGCAACGTCCTGCAAAGATGGCGACAGCGAAGCGGCCGACTGACAATGAGAGTAAATGCTGGCATACGTGTGCTTGGATGCTTGAAGGAAAGTGGTCCATTCTTGCCCTCAGCAACGACTATCAAGTGCAAACATGTGCACTGCTTACTGATTATCCCTAAATATGAGAACTATACTTGCGCTTCAGTTTCCATTCCTATCTAGCGAATGTTGGTTACCATAATATAAAAAAAAAAGTTTAGACCCTCTGTCTTTCGGCTTGCATCTGAACAGAGAGCCTAATTCATTGTTTTAATTCACGATTGACACATGCCTTCCTACTGTCTGTGATTAGGTCACAATATGCTAAAAATTAGCTAAACTTGGGAGATTGATTGACCTTGCAGCCTTTCTTACAAATTTGCAACTATAGCGCTATTAAATAATTGAGGCAAGTAACCATCACCTTCTCTTTGAAGCAGCGTTCCTTGTTGTACTCGAAGCCCTCGAATGGAGGTTTCAATCCACCAGGTTTGCTTTGCAAGTAAACTGTCATCTTAGCTCCTCCCTACCAATATCGGGTGATGTACGATGAGGTGACACACACCGAACTGGTATATTTTAATTTTTGGACATCTAGTTGGCACTGTACCAAAGTTTGTGATGCACTAGAGGTGTTTCTTTTTTATAGAAGCGTACGTCGTAGATGACGAAGTGCATGTTTCAGGGTTGATTTGAGGTTCTAAAAAGTAAACAAAAGATGCGTGTAGTGTAGTTGGAATGGCACTTGGTAGGAGACATTATGCTACTACAATTCAGTTTGGCTTAAATAAAACATGTACACAGTCAGAGCTGGTAGGAACAACTTGAAGAAGAACATCAATCCTGGAAACCCAGAGTAGCAGACATGTTTTCCAATATGTTTGTTTTCAACCAGACTTGGTTATGCATGTGTGAGGAAGTAATTAATACAATTTTTCCCCATACTGTCTTATTTACTACATTGCACCAGTGTATGAGACAACTACTCACTTCGGTTGTAAGAACAGGTAAAGTGCAGAACACACATTGATGACCTTTCCTGGACAGTGCTCACCCCCCTCCTGTACTGATAGTGTAGAGAGGTGAACGACTCCCCTTTATGAAATTTGTTGCAATTCTTAATTTAGTTATAATTCTACACCGAAGTTGGAGGGTAGTGTGCCATCTTTGACCAACACAAACCTCCCCCCCCCTTTTTTTTTGCAAGAAAAAGTGAGTTAAGGCATTAATAAGAATCAAGATATAGGGACTAGAAAGGAGATAGCAGATGATATGTCTATAGCAATGTAGAGTTTTCTGTATGTCCAAATTGAAAACTATCATAATTGCAGTAATACTTTTTGTTTACGGTGAATATGAAGTTAGATACGCATCCAAATTTTCGCTTTTCAGAGCAGCAAACTAATGCGCTGATTTTTTTAAACCACCATACAGAAACAAACTCCAGAACAGCTTCAAAATGCGATATATCCACCTGCAGCCAAAAAGCGTAGGGTCACGTTCAGCCGCTTCTCAACAGTTATCGCCCGTCGCATCAGCGTGTCCTGGCGTGCGACATTCTCACGGATGCCACTTGCGAGCTCGGTAAATACGTCCAAATCCATCCTCATATAGCGGCGATACTCCAGTTCGTCACAAAGAAAATCGTGCACCAAGCAGTTCTGGGCACCAAATTCTGCTCGGCGATGGACATATTCTCCAACCCACACCCGCGTCTTCCTAGAGTTTGTCTCGAGAAGAACAGCTATCACAAGTGCAGCTGCTGCCTTCTTTTCTTGCTTCGAGTCATGATCACAACTGCTAGGCTATGGGAACCGGTGAAAAGAAGCGAGCACAATAACAACTCTTTATGCGGGAAACGCTGAAGCAGACTACATGAAGATATCACTGTCGATTGAATGCCCACCCTTATTGAGTGGAGCATTTTTTCTGTTTAAGGCATGTTAAGACATTCTATACTATAAGAAAAAAAAAAAAAAAGAAACATTGTTTTTGTGCGGTAAATTTGTGTACAAATGGGCTAAATAATAAAACATAATTGTGTTTTTAAAGATGATGACTAAACAGCATATCGCTGCTACAGCGGTTGTGCACTCAGCAACATTGGGGCGTGAAAAAGTTTTAGGCTAGGTGGCGCAAGGTACCGCCCAATACTAAAGGTTGCACCATTACCTTTTATCCATTCCTACATGCAGCTCAAAAGTTGCTGCGTGTGAACGCGGATGGTACGTGCCGGTGGTGTTGCAGCACCAAGTTGCTGGGTGAAATTGCCTCGTCTGAAGCGGACGTTAGGGTGTAGCATGGGGACTCATTCTTGAAGTGGTTGTGCAACTCGCCTTTAATACTCTTTTTCTTTGATGCAAAGCTGCGGCACCACACTCCGGGAAAATGTAGTCCTTGAAGGAACTTGGCATTCGGGCACAGCAGCATGAATTAACGCCAAGAACCTCGGCTCCTCGATGATCAAATAAGAGTGTAGGAACGGTGCCGTTTTTTTTTTGTCAGCGTTTTTGCTCACTGTTTGTCCATCTTCAACATTGGCATGAAGGGTCTGGAAGTCGGGCACTGCCATCAGACTTCTTGGTTTCTGCTGTCTTATTTGCACTCTCAGCAGCACGCATCTTGTCAAATTCTTTTTACGGTCCAGGATGACAATTTAGGTGATTGATGAGGGTGGTGGTCATACTCCTTGGTGTTTTCAGACACAATTCGCACGTGGTACATTTCACGCTTTTGGTTCTTCGATCAAAGAGCTCCCAGATTGCAATTTGGTACAACGTTCGTTGTGTTTGATTGTTCTTAACTTTTCTACAAACGCACTATCTGCATTCACAGCTGGCGAGAAGCACAGCTGGCGTGAAGCAGCACAACACAAACCAAAAGTAGCGAAGGGAAAAACGGCAAAACAGAGCAAGATGATGATATGTGGATAGACGATGGCCAATAACGCCATAGTTGGAATTGGGGGCTGTAGCTCGCGCCACCTAGAGGTCTGCAGCGGTATCGTTGACAGATTTTAAATTGATCACGGTTTAGAGCAAGGTGGTTTTAACTGTCGAGGCTCTCAAGTGGCCGTGTTTATGAATAAAACACTTCAAAACTGTCTCGGATTGAATTCTAGGGAGAACTTGCAGTAGTCGAGTGGTATTCTAGCTAGGGTATGTTCAAATTGCAGAAACTATCGGTATCGCTATCATTATTTTTTACGTGGCGACGGCAACGCGCTAGATGTACAGGACGTGGAAATTGAGCTTGGATAAAGTTAACTCGGAGGCAGAAAAAGAACATGGAAGTTGACACTGGTGACCATAGCATGTGGTTTTTTATGTAAATCATTGTGGATGTTTTCTTTTGTGAGTCATTTTCCTTCCTTTTTTTTTAATTAAGTCGTGATTTGCGCTATCCTCAAACTTAAAAATACTTAGAAAATATTTGAAGTTTCCAAAGAGCACTGTTCGATTCGAAGTCGAAATCGAATATGGCATTATTCGCTTCGATGTCCGAAGGTTTAGAATATTCACACAACCTTACTAAGCGAATCTTTTTCATATGAAAGTTGACACAACTGTTGATACAACTTACTGCGCATTGTTTATTTTGAACACTAAGAACCTATCAAAGGCTTGTCCCTTAAAGCTTTTTTAGCTTTTCATTTATGCCTGTCAGTTCAGTCATATTCTCGGAAAGGCTTGCATTTGCCTCAGAAAGAAGCACCTGCCCTGATTGTTTCTTTCGTTAAACTTACTGTTGAAAGTTTATAGCGGTTGACTGGGTTGGGGGGGACAGCTCATCTGCTATGTGTCCTCGACTTTGCTGCGGCTCAGGTTGCGTGTGGCTAGGATAGGTTGCGCAAGTCGCCTCCTAATTCTGTGCCAGCCACGCAATTTGGTGCAATAATGGCGGATTTTTATTGAGATGGCACAGAAAATTGCCTTTGGTGCAAAATGGCGCATTTGGCACGGGACTGGAATCGCCGAATGCTGCAATAAGATGTTATGAATCTATATGTATCTCAATACACACACCAGGAGTACTGCCCTACACTTTTCTGCACCAGTGCAAAAGGTGCAGGTAAATCGAACGAGCTTAGTATAAACACGGTCCATTGTCAAGGATCCATTTCACTTAGCTGTGAGCAAACCTTGCAAGCATCCTGGGAGGCCCGGTTTGTACCCTTTGATAAGCTTGCATTACATGATTCTTTGCATCAAGAAATATAATAGTGGACAAAACCCATTTGCAATTACCTAGTTCAATTCGATTTTTCACAATGTCTTCATGAGTTGCTAAATCAAAACAAAACAATTTAAAGTCTGCTATTTCAATTTTGCTACAAGTTTGTGAATGGAATGCACGAGAACGGAGGCTCAGAACAATGTTTTTTCTTTTATTTTTTTATTTTCAATTTTCGCTTTTGCCATGCTTGTCATCACGTCTGTGAGCTGTTGCTCAGGGTGTCAGCGTGAACGCCGGGGTGGATGTCAAAGTCCCTTTCTGGCAGGCTGCTGGGCAGGACAGTGACGAATTGGGCTGAGAGGATGGCCGTGTCCCGAATCTTCTTGGCCATCCTCTCAGCCCTGCCTCCCTCGCGATCCGGGGCCCCAGCCAAGTAGTCCCCAATGGCCCGCTCTACGTCTGCCACGTTTCCTTCCACTCGGCTCCGGATCATAGCTGGAGAAAAAGAAAACAAAAAAACAAACAGCAGAAGCGAATATTATGCACGCCACAGAGCAAGTCACAAAATGCATTAGGGGCCTATAGAAACGGGGAAACTCTCGTGCAGTAATTTATTCCAAGTCGAGTTTAGGGCTGCCGAGAAAGAATTACCATATTTATTCTAAACAGGTTAACCATTTGCTGGAAACTGTTCTTTACCAGTAGGAGTTGATCTGTAATCATAACCAAACAAGGTGGACCTATAGACCAATGCGCTGTTTTAAACAAGCCTGCATTTGGCCACATTAAATGTGGGCACCGTGCATGCACGAAAACGAGCTTCCTGTGAGGTGAAGCGTCTGTGCACGCACCATTTTGACAACAGCGTCACTGCGGCGGCGTGACATCAAAGCCATGTGTTGGTCTACAAAGGCCTGTTCACACATACATCACAGCACCAACTCAGTGAAAAGCACCGACTTTGCACATGAACAGTGGTGTCACAAGAGGGAAAGGTGGGGGAGGGGGGGGGGGAGTGCACCAGACGAGCGGCTTGCATGCTTTCGCATTCACAACTCACAAGTGGGAAAGGGGGGGGGGGGGGGGCACTGCCTTAGGTGCAGTGCTCGGGGAGGGGGGGGGGTCATGGCGAGCCACGCAACCTTAGTGACATCACTGCGCATGACCCCACTTTTTCCTGCTCACACACACAATTCAGAGCGAACTTTAAGCATTGACAGCAGTGCTGAATGTTATTTCACCACCAATATTAATCTGCTAACTAACCTAAGAATAAGCAAAATGTATGCCCCGTTTGAGAGAACCCAGACGCTGCTCTCACCAGCCACTGCAAAGCGATGAAGCTTCATGCACGCGCACCATGAGCAGTGCATGATTATGAACTGTGAGCTCCGTGTGAAATTAAATTAGTGCGACCAGGGGACTTAAGCCGCTCTGAACGACGGAAGAGAGCATGCGTGCTGGACAAAGATGAAGAGGCAAAATGAAAAAGAGGTGCAACAGTTGAAAAGGCAAACATAAGAAACAGAATTAAAACAGATAACCCCATGAGAGTTCAACAGGACTGCCGTTCCCGACTGTAACAGCCGAAATAATTTTTAACTGGGAACGTATGAATGAGGTTCCACCGTATATACAAACAATACTTAAAATCGAAAGAACAAAATGCGGAGGACAAGCACAGGACAACCACATTCTTTCGTAATTGTCCTGTGTTTGTCCTCTGCGTTTTATTCTTTCTGTTTTAAGTAATAATTTTCAACTCAGTCGCTTTTACCAGTATAGAAACAAAAGTTGAGAAATATTTTGCTACGGTACAAACTAACACACATTTATGGTGCAATTTGTTTAGAGTCCCTGAAAGATTAAGCTTTTCATAATCCAGATTCCATAGCAATACCACTAACATGGTGCATTACTTGAAAGATCAGCTCACCACCTAAGATCACTAGCCAGAAGAGAAAAGCCTCGACTTGATTAGAAAATCAGGGGAAATGACTAACCATGATGATAAAGAAAGTGCTTGCTTTACTAAACACTTATTCTGGAGTTATATGGAAATACTCTGGCCACTTTACGCGCATGTTTACAAACCACAAATTTTGCTTAAAACTGATCCAGTAATTCTTCAGATTCTTGGGTGCTGACGAATTAAAAGAAAGAAGTTGCCATCATTTTTAATTAGCAATGAAGGTGTGCAATGAAAACACCTTACCAACGGCCACGGTGCAGAGCTGTGTGCCCCTGAACGGCCGCTTGTTGCCCCTGCGGCCGCAGATGCTGAAGTGCATCTGCACCTGCTTCCGCAGGAGCCGCTCCAGGGTGCGCCGCACAGCCTCCACGATTGTGGTGCCACCCAGGCCGGAGAGCTGCTCCTTCTACACGAATAGAATAAAAAATATTGCACTTTAGGAATCAAAGTTAATTTAATATGAGTAAGGTGAAAACTGACTATGGTATGGCATCCATATCACCTAAGTGAAAGGGTAATGTGAAATTGCATTAATCCTGTAGGCAGTATTCACTACACTATTATATATAAGAGAATACGGAAGATCTAACGAAAATAAACCCTGGAGAAGGGGGGCAAGGGAAAAAAGGACAAACATCAATCTCCAAACACACCTAGCTGCCTAGTTGGAGATTTGTGTTTGTCTTTTGTCGCCATACGTCTTCTCCAGAGTTACTACTGTTATTGTCCAGCTCGCTTGCACCTTTGCAATAATTTCATTATCATCATACTGAAGATCTATCCAGACTTTTACTGAAAATAATAGATCAGGTAATTGGCCCCTGCTGAGCTTCCCTCTTGCAACTGACTATAGTTAATATATTCAGTTTAGCAAACTTTCAGTTAAGTGAACTATTTCCTTGGGTCCCTTGAAGTTTGCTCAAGTGAGAGTTTACTGTATATGGCAGCCCAAAAAAAATCAAATTTACAGAGAAGTTCGCCCATCAATAAAGTTTTACTCCCCCGACCTTCTAGTTAGATTAACCATGCTTAATAATTCCAATATAACCACTAATGGTAGATTCACATGACGGACCGAATTGTGATTCTCATCCGCGGGCCGTGTACCATGCGACCGTCATGTCACAGATTCCTGCAATCCACGCATCGTCCGCAGACACGTGGAGTAAAATTACCCCTTTTCGCTTGCGGATTTTCGGTGGGCAATTGACTAGAAAAGTGTTTAGTCTGGCAATGGCACAATGTTTTCTTTGTTTTTGGATGGTTAAAAGAAAGATGGTGCATCGTTTTGTTTCATGCATTTGTTGGTGCATATTGTAACGAGATTTTTGCTTTCACGTGTCAAAGAAGCTGCAGAAACTTTGACCGGCTAACATGGATTCTCCGGATTCATGTCAGAAGCTTCTGTCAAAGCTTTGATAGCACGCTGCAATATGTTTTGCATGTCCCATCAGCCTTTGATCCAGCACGTCCTTTCTTGTGACTGCGGTCTACAGAAGTGTTGTGCACGAGCACAGAGTGTGTGAAAGCATCCTCAAATGCCCCTCCACGAGCCCCGGACTTTGTTTCTTCTACGCCGAAGCCTTCTCGAGTAGGAGCATGCCTAGGACACTGTCATGCCTAAGCTAAGACTGCGGCGGGAACTACGTGCCCGCTGAACCAATCAACTAGCTGCCTCTCATCCCTGACCCCGCATTTTGTGCATGGGCATGGGTGGGAGCATGATCGCTGGCGAAAGAAAGCTGTATGATTGGTCCACCGAGGATGTAGTTTTCACAGCAGCCTATCACATAGTTCTGTCTTGCTCTGTAGCTGCAATAGTAAAAGTTGCAATCGTAAAAGATTGGTCCAGAAGCGCTTACCGAAACATTGTCTAACAGAGCGAATCCAGCACTTCGATCAAACACACGCGTCCGCTCAGAGTGTGAACTCGTAGTTCAAACATATCTTTTTTAACGTCTGCTAGCAGCTCGCGACTCGTGGCAACTAATACCGGCTGTGCCAGAAGCGTTTCGTGTCGTGCCGTTCAAAGAGCCGCAACGAGAACGAGCTCACTGTGGCCAACTACGCGACTACGCTTTGGCTTTCTCTGCCAAGGCTTTACAAACGCGTTCAGGCCTAGGCTAATTCTGCCGGCACGCCGTATTTCTGCAGAACGGCGCTGCTCCTATGCCACAGGTGATGTCACGAGAACTTTCACACCATCCACCAGATGTGAATTTGAAATCATTTAATTAGGTTTAAAATTAGTTCTCCCGTGTTTTACAGCGCGATATTGATATCTCCGAGGGGGTGCCTGTCCCTAGCGCATATTTATGCAAAAAGATTGGCACTAAAATTATGTTTCCGTACCCCTTTAATGTTCACATCAACTTGGGTCCTAGTGATTATAAACATGTTTCTTTCAATTTTCAAAATTTGCATAGTCACCCCACAGGCAACCAGAGTGGAACTATAATGCGACCAACCAAAGGTCAAATCGATGTTCTTGTTGCCTTCTTCCCTTTATTTTATACTTTCCAGCGAGCACCGATTGCCCTTAATCATTCTACATGCCCCTGTTCTCGACTCAAAAGTATGTAGAGATGTGAAAACAATAAGGCCACATCTTCAGTCATAATGCTGCCTTGATAAGTGGCTGTCTGTGACTAAACTGAGATAATGGTTAAGCTAACATTTTGGTAAAATTTAGATATGAAGCAGTTGAACATATGCTGTCGCTCCATTTCTCAAACCACGTGAGCAAGGCACTAACATATAGTAAAAAAAAGTTTGATATTCACCGGGACAGCCTGATCGGCAGGGTTGATGAGGCGCCTCTCTGCCGCCTCAAAATCTTCCATTGTCGCCAGCGGTAAAATAAAAACCGCTGGCGGCACTGGGGCATCAGGCAGGCAGTTCGCATGCTCAAGCTGAGCGATGCGCACTGCCAGCTGGTCCTGGTTTGCCAGGACCTGTGCCGTGTCCTGGCGGAGAGGGTGCACCTCGTGCCGCACATCCAGGAGCACCTTCAGAAGTTCCGACTGGAAGGCTAAAATAGAGACAAGGAAATTATTGTGGTCAGAGATCTACGAAGGAAACATGCTGAAAACAACACTTCACCTAAGACTAAAAATAAAAAACAAATGATAAAAAAAAATTTATAGCTCAAAAAAATATTTCCAAGCCTTATGCAATTGATGGCAGCAAATGTAGGCCGTCCTGCCAGTGGCTCTTTCATCGCACATATTGTTTACGTCCGAGCAATTAATTATACTAACTTTGTTACACCTTTTGAGAGACCAGAAACCTACAAATCATAGACGTGATTGTAACTTCAAATTTAGCTACTTTAGAAATTCCAGCTCCAAATCTGTACCCGTTATCACCTCAAGAACCACAGTAAAAAGTTCGGCTCCTAGCGTATCATTATTAATTTCCCCCTTTATGTTGAGAATTAAGATACATGCAGGCACATTTTACATCAAATATCTTAGCAAGCCATACACATTTCAAATGCCAAAAGCATTGCTGCCTCCTTCGACAACCAAATCTTATGAGAACTACTACTTGCAGCATATGAGTAATGTGCAAAACTTCCTTTTCTTCTTGAGGTGAAAACGAGTATAGCTATATTTGAAAATTATATCAAGTTTAGCTACTCCCCCCCCCACCCCAACCACTCCCCTTGGTCAGTGACCATGGAAAGCAGGGTTTGGGGGGGGGGGGGGAGGTGAGGTTTGGGGGCAGCACTGTTGAAGGCCTAGGGAGGTAAAATGCTAAAATGTGCCGCTGTGCCCCTTCCGAAGGTCTTGCGACCTCTGGTCACAAGACCTTCGGAAGGGGCACAGCGGCACTCAAGGTGCGCAGCCTCGTGATATGTTTGTGGCACTGGACTGGTGATTATGGTTATAGTATCTGCTACAGCCTTGTGTAAGTTGAAATAGAACATAGAAAACAGCCTCATCACTCCACAAGGTTTCAACACAATAGGTAAGCCTCTTAAAACAAGCTAAACATTAGTCACTTTTCTTAATCAGGTACTAGCTTTTTTTTAGATGTTTGAATATTTGTTATCAGCTGTCACTGATAAGAAAAATAAAACAGCTAGCTTGAACATGCAAATCAACCCAAGCTATGGGCACCAGGTTGCCCAACCTAGCCCAGAGTGGCGGAGGGGTTAAAGCCGCAGGACTTTCTTTGCCGCCACTACTGTCGGCTAAATGGTGCCACCTGCTGCCCAATGTGTTTGCTTACTTGCACAGTCACCGGCATTTTTCACTGATGTAAGCGATTGCTGGCATCATCTGTACAAAGTCTGGTTTGGGGTCCCTCAAGGCACTGATACCGACAGACGTTTGGGTTCCTTAAAGGCGGGCGCTCAAAATTTTCTTCAGCGTGGCAGAAATTCCCCCTCTTTTTTTTTTCCCTCCTCCCCTTTCCTTCATTTTCCTCCTCGCTTTTTTACTGCCTTCTCGCACGAGTGCTAATGGGCTTACCGGCCCTTCGACAAAATCTCTGTGTCCCTTCAAGGTTCTCTGCTTCAAACCCAAACATCAGGGATTAGTTAGGCAGCCTGGACATGAGCTCGGAAGGGTTTGGGCTGGCTCGCTTTTCTCCTTTTTTTTTTTCTTTTTTTTTACTCTTTTTTTTTTGCAGCTTTGAAACACACTCAGATAGTCAACACCAATTAGCCCAACAACAAGTTCTTTTACGTTCAGATACTTCCGCGTGCGGCCACATACGCTACAACACCGTAAACGGTGGTATATTTATCTCGAGTGAACGGAACTTGAACATCACGGCAGAAGGAAAAAAGGATGGGTATTTTTATCTGAACTTTGAGCTCTACCCAGAGGGTTGAAAATTGGTCGTTCTAACAACGGCACACTGAAGAGTGATTGTATCACTATTGCGCTTTTCTTTTTTTTTTTTTGTACAAAGTAATAATCATGAGTAATTACAAGTCAAAGATATTGCAGTCAGAGGGACACAGTCTGACCATTTCTGGGGCATAATATATAGGTTCGCACTACAGGTGTTTTCTAGAGTGACGGCCGCCTCGTTGAAGCTACTAAGAAGAGTAAAAACAAACTTCCGTAAAAAGTGAAACGGTTTATGGTATATTTCATCTATCTTCAGCCTTTGAAAAAAATTTCTTCGTGGCCAAACGTGCATTTAGTTTCTGTCAACAAATGTAACTCGCGTGGCTTCCTTCTGACCTGTAACAAAGCTTATGAAACATGACAAAATACCTTGTGATAAAGCGCCCGCCCCATCATAAACTCAATTTCGAATGTCCCAAGATTTGTTTTTATAGGCCGGAAAAAAAAAAAAAGAGATGCATGCAAAGCCGCGTGTTTCACGCTTTATTTATATCAGAAAACAACTGCCCTCTGTTTTATACACAGCGTTGTTTTTTTTGTTTTTTTTACGCCTATTAGGTATTAGAAAAAACGCGCAAATTAATGTTTTGTCGATGTGAGCTATACTGCCAGGTGAAGATTGGGTTCAAGAAAGAACGCAACAAAAACCGACTGGTTACCTAACATTTGTTAATGAACTTTTTGAATATAAAAGAAAACGGGATAATTTTTTGTCAGTATATTGTCATTGTTAACTTTATTATCACTTTTTACGTGCATTTAGTGCTCTTGTTTTCTATTTTGCGCTCTCGGCGCTTTTTGTATTTAATCTTGTAACCACTTTATTGTTCGTAGCCCTGTTGGAGGTATGAATCATATTCTTCTTTGTGTGTGTGTCTGTTTGTTCCTCCCTGCCACGGCCCCACGGGCCAGCAGCATGTACAAATAAATAAATAAATAAAGTTGTTGGGCGTAATCGAAAGCCACCAAATTGTCCAGTGAAAATTAGCGCCATTGCGATTTGTTTAGGTGAGGTATACGGCCAGGCGAGGATTAGGCTCAAGAAAGAACGCAACTAAAACCGACCGATTGCCTAAAATTCACTAATTAACCTTTTAGTTAGAAAAGAAAAACGACATCGTGTATTTAGAAAGTTGTTGGCCGTAATCGCGAGCCACCAAACCGTCCATTCTTAAAAAGATGTAACGCGCGTACACTATTATACGGCGTCTTGATACGGCGTCCTCCTAATTTGGGCGCGAAAATATAGTTCTGATTTTATGTGGGCTCCATCTCCGCGTAGCACAGCCTAACGCCATGAAGCCAAAACGACAAATCATGCGCATCGCTGTGACAACGCCACTGTAGAAGGGGCGAGGAGTGCGGCGGCCGAAAAGATTGCGGTAACACGATTCGCGTCCAAATTCGGCATTTTAGGACGCCGTGAACCACTTCACGTGCACTACATCTCTTTAAAAATGAATGATTTGGTGTTTTTGATGACTACAGATAAGGCACAAACCGAAATTGCGTAACTCGAACGTCTTTTGTAGAAAAATGTCTACTCGTAAAAAAAAAAAACCGCCCTGTATAAGCACGATTGTAAGGCAGTTCTTTACGTCCGGCGACATCATCACGGCATGGAAAGAGACGTTGACCACGGATCATACGCTGTGTATGATCTGTGGTCACTGTGTTTTTTCGTACGAGAATGAGCAAACATTTGATACAAAATAAAATAGATTTAGCATTCACCAATTTCGACTTGTTTTACTTGATTCAAATCGATATTTGATTTTATTACACTTATCTTGTACCCGCACACGCCTCCTTTATTCCCTAATGAGTTACAAGTGATAATTACATTGTTTTTTTTTGTCGTGCGAGGTCATCACAATTTATTATTAACAATCGGAGCTGTGCGATTACACGGAGGCAGGGCATTTGAAGATATTCAAAATTGTTCTGAATACACAAACAGCCTCAAACGTCTTGCTGTTTGGGTCCTTTCCTACACGTATGACCAATAATAAAGCCAAAACCTTATAGAGGAGACTATCTCTATCAGCTCAAAGCACAAACACGATGTGAAACGTGTCTGCGTACGTTGGAAAAGAGATACCGGCGAGCAAACCATAGCGTCGAATGTGCATGCATCAAAATGTCCGTGCACTGAAACGTCTGTGCACCAAAACGTCCACACCGAAATGCCCTACAGCAAAACGCTCCACGCCGAAAAGTGCTAGACCCACTTCGGATGGGATCCTCCGTCACCTCTGCCGGTTTACGAACCATAATGATTCAGAACCACTGGTCTATGGAGCGCCATCCCTGATATACAGAAAACGCCGCTCGTACTTCCCGTTGTCGCCATGAATCCGCCTAAACAACAAAAGATGCCAAATCAGATATTTATATTAAAATTGATGCTTCAATGACTACTTCTTTGAGCAGAACAAGGCATTTGTGCTCTCACAACAGCAAAGAATCGTCTTCCAAACCAATGCTAAAAAAGAGCCAATGCAACTCGTTGGGAAGAGCAAGTGCCAAGCTCGCTCAAAACAGCTACTCGGTTGGTTCAGCTTCTTGTCGCAGGTGTGCCGGCTGGCTTCTGGATAATCTTTTCAAATCCTTCAAGCCTTTCATTTCCTCCACCCCAAACTTGTAAAAAAAAAAAACACAAAAAAAAAAGGGCAGTTAGCAAGAAAACAAACAAACAAAAAAAAAAATCGGAAAATGGCGAGGAGGAAACGAGAGGCGATTTCCTCCTTTCACAGTGGCGAGAAGGAAAGTGGGGGTCGGGTTCCTTCTCTCTGCTTGCGGGCCGGCCTTTAAGATACTGATTTTTTTTTAAACCTGCTTCGCTGGGTCCTGGTGAGGTGGGAACCCAGTGACTGACCCGGCAGGGGCGCGGTACCCTAATATATAGGCTCCGGCCCCCTGGCGGCGACCCCGCTCGTCCCCACGGTAAGAGTGGTGGAGGCGAGAGGGGCCGTCGGCCGGGTTCTGGTCAGTGGGCACCCACCCAACCCATCCCGCTTTATTGAGCATGAGTACAGTTGCTGCCAAGGCTTCTGGTGGCGTGAGGGTGTGTCCGTGTCCCCTTGTGAGGGCTTGATAGACGGCCCGGTTGTCGGTCACAACTCTGGTTCGTGGTGGCGCTAGGAGTAGGGCCAGCAGGACGGCCCAGAGTTCCCGGAGGTAGATGGGGGCAGGCCGGGACGCTATGATGGCGATGTTACCCTCGGGTAAGCAGATGCCGATGCCTGAACAGCTGGCATCCGCTTAGACGTCGCGCTCGACGGGCACAATGTCCAAGGGCACGGCAACAGGCAAACATTGAACCACATACTCAAAAAGGTGGAGCCAAGGACGGGAAGGCGGCCGCAACATGAAGAGGCCGTAGGGCATGAAAATGAGAGGAATAAAGTGAAAAGTAAAATCCCCAAAAGCCAGCTGCTCACTGGTAAACCTTACGTGTCTGGGGGTAATGGAGTGCGCGGAGCACAAGGAGAAGGTCCTGGCGCCTCGAGGGCGTATGTCCAATAGTCCCTGTAGTTCCATTAAGAAAAAAGCCTAGGAACTTAACATGGGTGGACGGGGAGAACATTGAATCGCTAGGATTCAAACGAATGCCAGCTTCAAGGAGCTGGTCAAGAAAAAGGTCAAGTTGTCTCTTCAGAAAGTCGGGGTCGGGGTGCGCAAATAAAAAATTGTCTAGGTGAGACCAAGCCCACAAACCCCGGGAGTGTGCCTCACGAGTAAGGGCCGTTGCCAAAGATTGCATAAAAAAAGGAGCGGGCCTGATGCCGAAGGGCAAAACTTTGTAGCGATAGTAGCGGCCGTCCAAACGAAAAGTGGCAAGGGCTCGTGTGGCGGGTGCCAAACCGAAATGGTAAAACGCGTCTCTTAAATCAAACTTGACAAAAAAAGGCTTCGCCGGCAAGGGACAGGCCTTAAGGGCCTGTGGAAGAGGGGGCAGGCGAAACTTCGAACTCGGTAAAGAGGCAGTGAGATGTGAACAGTCAAGGACAAACTGCGAAGCGGTGGGCGTTTTTTGGCACAAGTTGGATGGGAGACAAAAAGGGGCCGCGAGTAGTCTCCTCAATTATCCCGGCAGAAAGCATGGACGCTACCGCCAGCCGGAGCACAGGGAGTTGGTCCGGGCGGGGGGAGCGCGCGTTAAACACAGAAGATTTCCTAGCAAAAAACTGGAGCGCAGCTGGGTCAAACGGAGGGTTATACCCAGAAGTTTCTGCCACAATGTCCCACCTGACTCTGGGGACTGGTTCACTAGGTCGAACAGGCGGGTAAGGCGGCAGAAGCGGGAAGGCCGCAGGCCGTCGGCTGTCGTCGTTGTCGTCTTGTTGGTCCTGATCGGGTGGCGGATGCGGCTGGTGGCGCTGAAGCCACTGGAGAATTCGGAGGGCCGCATCTGCCAGGCTATCGTCCTCGGGAAGGTCCGCGGCCACCTCAGAATCGGTCGTTAGGTCCAAAGCGGAGGAGGCCGTGGTTGAGGGTGATGCCGGCCGGGGGAAGGCCCCGGACGAAGGAGCAGGAGCAGCAACGGGCCCGGCTGGGAGGGAAGGCCAACCAGCGGGGTCCGAAGGGGCGGAGGAGCTGGGAACGCCGGCTTCACGCAACGCTTGGGCCAGGAGATCCTCAGGCAGGAGGATGTCCTGAAGGAGTCCCAAAGTTGGGACACCATCAACGACCACGGCAACAGTCTGGGCTTCTCCAAGGACGAGGTCGAGGGGACGGGGAAGGCCCGTCGGGAGCGTGTCGACCGCGTCGAGGAGATCCAGGCACTCTTGAGGAGGCTGGAAGTCGGGGGGTAGCATTGAACCTTCACTTTTTCTTAGGAGGGTTCTTGCGGGGGGACTTGGGAGGCTGGGGCTGAGACCGGGTGTTGGGACGCGTTCCTCGTGGAGGACTAACGGAGCGGTCAGGGGAACCACTGCGGTGGGTGGCCACTCTTCGTGGTGCAGGCGGTCCCAACAAAAAGGTGGCGGAGGGATCGGCATAGCCGTCGAGTGCGGCTCCCCACCCGGGGAGCCGCACTCAAAAAAAGAACAAAAAAAAAAAACAGGCAGTTAGCAAGACAACAAACAAACAAAAAAAAAATCGGAAATTGGCGAGGAGGAAACGAGAGGAGATTTCCTCCTTTCACAGTGGCGAGAAGGAAAATGAGGGTCGGGTTCTTTCTCTCTGCTTGCGGGCAGGCCTTTAAGATACTGATATCGATGTTGACTGCTACAAATGCCACTGATAAAGAGGTCGCAACCGTTGGACATATGGAAAATGAAAAACTATTTTATCTCAGAGTTGATGAAATGACATGTTTGCGACTAGGATTCTTTCATGTACACTTTGCTCAGGTTGGCAATACTTGCACTTTCATAACGATTTTGTTTATTTTTTGCTTAGGAGCATGAGAGGTCTTCAATTTGTGATTTTGGTGTATGATCATTTGTATACAGAGTATTGGCCATAACTGCTGACTTATAGCAAGGCCACGTCGAGGCATGTCCAACACTCCTGTTTCGGTGTAAGAGCGGAGCGCCCGACTTGGTCCTCTGCACGTTTATTTAACAAGGCTGCTGCTACTGCCACCTGTTGGTGCCACAATGCAATTGCCATCGTAACAAGTATTAATTATAATTAGCAGAACTGGTCTTGTGCAAAGCTACAAGTATGAAAAGATAGGTTTCAAAGGTGTCCCTGCTGCTCAAGGATTCATGCAACTAAGGCACAGTCTCTAAAGCAAGGGGGCTTGCAATTCTCGTTAAGGTTTGAAAAGTGCCTCTGCTGCACAAGGATTTATACAGCCAAGGCACACATTCTAAAGCAACGGGGCTTGCAATTCACTTTAAAGTAAGATGATGTAGATATCAGCAATAACCAGTCCATGCAAAGATGTCAGACATATCATTCTTGACATGTAATCAAACATGTTTTGTAATCAAACGTGTCATTCTTGACATGTAATCAAACATGTTCTGTCATTCTTGACATGTAAAACTGAACATTATGAGTTTTTTGTTTGGTTTTGGTGGCCTAAATATATCCACAGTTTGGGGCATTTAGTGCCATACTAAGGGCATTGGGAAAATTAATGTACAAATGTGATTGTGCCAGTGTTCTAAACTCAGTCAGGTCAACATTAAGCGGTGAACCAAATCAATCATCTGGTATGCTTACGGGACTTGGTAGCCTCGACTGGCTCGACTGTTTCCAAATTCCTCCTCTTTTTGTGGCTTGCTACTCTGCCAGGGCTGTGGTAAGGTATGTTTAGTCTCAGATTAAGATCCTTGAACTCGTCACACAAGTCATTCAAACTTTTCAGCAACTACATATCAGCCATATTGGCACAGCCAGTGTCCCTTTCTGCCCAACATCTCGAGGGCTGTGAACATAAACAAATGTGACAGATACGCTTCAAAGGCACATATTTTAGGGAGGCAAAGTATGTTTGTCAGCTCCATCCAATCACTTCCAAAATGAGCATAAGGTGCCCAAGGCTTAAGTCTGGTGGCTTCTGTTATAAACGGTTTTCGAGGCAAGCAAAAATTTACTTGAATGACTGGAGGCAACAATAAAATGTTGATCAGTCTGCCAAAGAAATGTGCATGTGAAACCTGTCATCACAAATGTCGGTGTAGACACTGCAGTCCCTTTTAGAGGGATGCTGAAATGAAAATTGAAATATACCTTATGCTAACAACGAAGTTAAATGTGGTCAATTAAATCTGCTAATGACAATCACACGTTAGTATTTTTAACAGGTGGCCATATTTTTCGTTCCCAACAGCCGATTTCAGCAAGAACAACCATCGGAGAGCGTGATGCTTCTCGAGAGTTCCGGTTCTCGTGATGTAAATTTTAACTTCATGGGCAAGGCTATAAGGAGGCTGGCATGGTTGTGACCTTTGTGACTTGTTAGTGTCAACACCTTACAACCTGGCTGTTCAAGAACGCCTGCTTCCCGCTGGAGTTGGATAGGCATGGAAGAGAAGTTTGGTTCAGCCAAGTTTGGCGGCCTACGCACGCTCAGAGCTTAGCACCACACTTCTAGGGAGTGGCACTGCTTTTATGTGAAGTCTGACTTGTGACATTCAGGAACAGCCATCAAGTGCAATCTGGTAAATTTTTTTTTGTCATTTTAAATGTTTTGGTCTTTATTAAACAAAAAAATTGGCATCTTTGTGGTGCGGCCAAGATGTGCCTGGTATTTAAACAATAAAATAGACTAGAATTTTGTTACGTACCCCTTTAGGGCAACTCCGCTCAATTTTGAAAAATTTAGACTTATAGGTGATTCCATTTCCCAAAGCACTACTAATCGGCTCTACGTCTTCGAATTCGCGAAATGTGGAACATTATTTGTGTAATCTCAATTTAAACATCTGCAGATACTGCAGATATTAACATTGCAGAGATACAACCAAAGGGGGCGGCAGTAAAACAGCTCCGCGACCGGTAGTTTTGGAAGTGGGAGATTTTGGCCGTAGTCGAACTCGAGAACAAGAGCAGTCTCATCGTCGCTTAGGGTGCGCTTCAGTTCTTTGTGTTCCTCTAGCTTCTTGTGGATCTCATTCTCTGCTAAACTGCCACTTTCTTGGATCTGATGCTCAAGGCAGAGACCGCATGCGTCACTACGAGGCGGCCAAATCGTGAAGGGAACCTTCTGATTAAAATTGTCACAGAACTTGGAGGGTACAAGAGGAAGCTCTTCTCCGGTGACGCTCTGGAAATAGTCACCAGAAAGGGAGTATAATCTTGCACCTTTTTACAGGAGGAGTTCACAGCAACAACCTGCTAAGCCCACTGAGACCAATAGTTTTTGGTGCTCCTTAAAGAATCTGCATGCTAGCTGTACCCTACAAACCCCTCCGACAACCATTTATGCCAGAGAGGTGTCAAAGAATAGGTTGCCGAACACTGAATTTTCGAATTCGCCATTAGTGTTACTTCCCAGGCAGCACACCAATGTTGGACCTCCATTGGGCCAACAATGGCAAACACTGGCTCCAGAGGTTGGTCCAACATTGGCATTCTGGCCGAGCGCAACTTCTTCCAATGTTGGCCGAGCCACTGGCACCAACGTTGGGCCATCGTTCAACCAGTGTTCCAGCCATCATTGGCACCAACGTTGGGCCATCGCTCAACCAATGTTCGAGCCATCATTGGCACCGACGTTGGGCCATCGTTCAGCCACCATTGGCACCCATATTGGGCCATCGTTCAACCATTATTCCAGCCATCATTGGCACCAATGTTGGGCCATTGTTCAACCAGTATTCCAGCCATTACTGGGCCAGTGATGGTTATCCATTCTGTAGCCAATATTGGCAACCGCACTAATTCAATGGCTATGCCATCATTGGCATACAACCTGCAGGCGAAAATCAGCCCACTTCCAGCTGGATTATGGAACTGGTCCCAGCTGGAAATGAGGCAATCCAGCTGGACTGACTAATTTCCAGCTGGGACTAGTTCCATAATCCAGCTGGAAGTGGACTGATTTGCGCCTGGGAAGCTCATTAATTGGCTATGCCATTATTGACAGCCAAGCTAATTCATTGGCTGTCCTAATATAGGTGCCACATGCTTACTATGGAATGGCAATGCATTTAAATCCTGGTGGGGTTCTAAGAACCCCTGTCCTGTTTAATATTAGCAGCCCACTGCATCGAAAGCACTCTGGGCACCAATGACAAGATCCGCCTATGCTTTGTCCATGCACTATTTTATCTGGCGTGTAGATGACTACTTCAGGATCAATTAATACTTTTTTCTGAACTTTTATTTAAAAGCGGGGGTTTCTGCCCAGTCTTGGGGGGGTCTTATGCTCAGTCTTGGGGAAGGTCTTGGGTAGGGTCCGGGGGTGAGTTTTGGGCCTCGGGAGCCATTGTGGCTTCAAAGCGTCGCTTTCGGAAGCCAATCGATTACCAACGTTGGTAACCCATTGGCTAAGGCAGGCCAATGCTGGCCAGCTTAAGCCAATGGACTGCCAACGTTGGTAAGCCATTGGCTAAGACAGACCAATGTTGGCCAGTCTAAGCCAATCGATTACCAACGTTGGTAACCCATTGGCTAAGGCAGGTCAATGTTGGCCAGCTTAAGCCAGTGAATCCCCAACATTGGTACCACAATGGCTGTAATGGCCCGACCTTGGTCCATCGTTTGCCAATTGAATTTCAATGTTGGCCCGACGTTGTGTGCTGCCTGGGTTGAGTTCAGCTACTTCAAATCTAACTGCTGCCAACCTTTGGGGAGAAGGACCTTACCTTCTAGTGTCACTATTAATTTTTTTTTGTATATAAGCTTGACGTTAACTGTTGAAACTAAAACACTGACTTTGTGGCACGAGCTGCCACCTTATTAAAAGTGTTCAGCAGCCATATGCGTCTGTTTTTCATTTGTAGGAGCTAGATAAAGACAACCAGTCCAAACCGGCAAAATTTGAACCGATTTTATGAGCTTGCGCAATGTGAGCCTCGTGCTTGCTTCGTCATCTTTTTTCTGTTGCCCGAACTGAGTGTGAGGATTATTCTACATCCATTAATTTCCAAAAATCTGCCAGAAGTCTTGTTCAGAAGTGTTTAAAGGACAGTGGAACTTGTTTAGAAGTGTTTAAAGGGCAGTGAGAAAGAGATTCATGGATATAGCACACTGGGATGGACCATGTCAGTCACTCTTGACCAAGAGGGTGTGCTGTTATTGCCTGGATCTTTTTTGGTAACATGCACCTACTTTATCAAGCAATTGCAAAATATTGCATTGAAGTGCTTGCAATCAAGCATTCCTTTTCCATAAGAGCATAAAATGAGTGCATAGGCAGACCGAGTAATGTTTCCAAGAAAGCAACTTCATTTCTCACTGGTGACAAGTACCATTGAATCACCATATCACTGAATTGAGAAGCATGTGTACCCTTAGTGCTAAAACGCACCATTCAGCGGTTAATTCAGGTTTGCCATGGCACAGGTCTTCTCGATGCTTTTCTTACTCTCTGCACGTGATGCTGTCGCAGGTGAATCCCGATTCTTGTTTTGACATACTTTTCGAAAAGAATCTTCTCCACACGAGCTTTGTGCATGTCGCAGCGGTTTAACTCTACCGTTGCAGGTTAGTGCAGGAAGTTTAGAATTCTGGCAAAGGGAGCCTTGGGCATCAACACGGCATCTAGTTCGGCAAAAGCCTTGATGTTCTCTTCACAATCTTGACATATTCCTTCAGGTGAATCAAACTGCTGTGCCGATCATTACCATCTGACACTAGGACACCTTTGCAGTCCTCACAGTTGCCAAAAGACTACTTGATGAACTTAAGAAGAAAACCTTCTAGGTAGGCCAGAATGTCGCACTTGACTGCAGTAAGTCCACACACAAACAAGTTCTCCAGGTGTTCAATCTCATGGTTGACATCTTGCACCTGCTTCTTGAGGGCTGGATCGAGGACACCAGGCAGGAGCACGCTGTCGTAGCTCAAAGCTGTCTGTCGGTGCCTGGGGAATCCGACTGATACAGATTTGAATTTGAAGAACGGAGAAAACATTTTCGAGGCAGTCGTGGCTTAACCTGCCCGTGAGAAGGTACTCGTAGCTGCGCCCGTTTAGGAGCTCGTCAGAAAGGCGCAGAACGACGGTGGTCGAAACCAGAAGCCCAGCCTGCTACGGTTTCCATTGAGCAGTCTCTCCCTTGTTCATCCGACAGAAGGTGGTGACTACCAGGTCCAAAGTTCCAACTGCTTGGGTGTACTTTGCACAATCAAAGTGGCTCGGAGCGACCGCTGGGTGACGTGATGACATGAGGGTGCACCACCTACTCACTAGATCAAAGAACCAGGCTGTTGCCTCAGCTTCCGGCAGAAAGACTTTTTGCTGAATTAAGTAGCGGATTGCAAGAGGAGCCTCGCGGAACAATGGCACAGCAATGGTCGCCTTCATTTTTGTGAAACCTCCTTGCCGACGTGCGTGTCAGAAAGCCTGGTGGCGACTTTGAGTTTACTGTTCGTATCGTATGCAAGAAGAGCATCAGCGTGGTGGAAGGTATGTGTGCCCTGTCTGAAGTTGTTCAGACACTGCGGAACAGAACACCCAGGAATTTCTGCTCCTCACGCCTCTCTTGCTACCAGACTTCTTTGTTGCGAACGACTGTGCAAAACACGGTCCCCCCTGGCAAATTGTGTTTTGGGTCCCGTCATCCTCTTGGGGCTTTTATACCCCGCGAGGACGGCTGGGGCCTGGGGCGCCCTTGAGCCTCCGGCTCAGCAACACTTTATTTGATTTCCTTGCTTTTAAAACTCTGACTCACTGACTGGGGCGCACCCTACTGGACCACGGGGATTTGCGTGGTTGTTATCCGAAAGGGGGCGTCCGCAGGGTTCAGAGTGGTTGGTACCCACTGATACCATAGCCTTTTCTTTATTGAGAGAAGGGTTACAGCGGAGAGTAGTGGTGGGAAGGCTCGGCCATGACCGTATTGCAGAGTGTGAACAAGAGCTTCATTGTCGTTAAAAATAGCAGTCTCAGGGGCATGAGGAGAGCTGCCAAACACACAGCCGTAAGTTCGCAAAGGTAGATGATGCCTTGCGGGTGGGGCACGATGAAGGCCACGTTGCCTTGTCGCAGGCACACACCAAGTCTAGCGTTGCTGGCGTCCGCTGCAGCGTGAAGTACAGCTTCCGGAGTTAGCCAGGGGGTCGTATGGCCCCCTGGCTACCAGAAGGCATGCCAAGATGGTGCATGCCTTCTGGTGGGCATGGCAGCCGAGGCAGGCAACACTGGTCGGCGGTGGGCTTTTGGGTAATTTCATTTAAACACCACCATGGCACACAACACTAATTAGACTTACAATTGTGCTGTTTCCCATTCTTGCAGGAGCAGGAAAAAAGCACAGTGCAGCATCTGAGGGGGAAAAGGGGACAAGAATAAATCAGTTTATGGATTTGATATAGATTTACCAGGCATCTAAGCAGTCAGAAAGCTTAATTCTATCTGAAAAGTCCTCGTTATCTTCACATAAAAGATTTCACTTTGTCTTTGCTATATACATTTTCTGTGCAGCGTAGGAAATGGAAGAAAAATGGCGTATGTACTCACGTTGCAGTATAATTGGTCTGACATTTCCCATGCTCTAAATCAGCACATCAGCATGGCATCCTTCTAGAAACCCTGTCTCTGGTGCTGTTATATAGCAGGATTAATGAGAAAAGTTGCATGCCTTGCGTTCTTTATTCTTTACATTCTTTATAATCTAAGCATTCTTTGTGTTTTTTCATAACCACAAAAATTCCGAGATGATGCAGGGATTAGGTATACAGTTATTGATTGTCATTTTACTTAGCTAGAAAATTTACCGTATAAAATTGCTGCAAAAAATTGCAATTTCTAAGCTTCTGCCTGAACCAGAACATATGGGGTTGAGCAGCTATATATTTTTTACGCTGAAATCTGCACTTTTGAGAAAAATGCCAATCTTGAAACGCTTATGGCTTGCAAACTATGCCCTTGTGTAAGCATAGCGTCCCCGATACCATGTTTTGAGGCAAATTAAACTTCTTCTAACGCACCACTAGCCCCTTAGCTGGTGTCAGTGCTTCCTCCTTCCTCCCTTTCCTGGACCTCTATGATATAGGGTGGCTGCTGTTCTTCGACGCACTTCCACGAAGCAGCTTGACATATTCCTTTCTCCTCACTTGGTGTACAATTCTACCTGGGCTTTGAAATTTTTAAGTTCGAGGCATGGCCCACCTGGAGAACAGTGAACGAAAAGGCAGAGTACTCTACCTGAAGCCACTTGTGTCTGTAAATGCCACACAAATATATTCCGAGTGCACCACAAGTAGGTACACAGTTTTCTTCCACATACTTTTTCGAAGCATTATGTCGCAGCCAAACACTAATAGCCAGCAGCAATGAAAGGGCTGCCGTCCGCAAAGAAGTAACAATAGGTTCCCAAATCATATTATTCATCAACTTAAAATTGTTAAACAACCAGTAATAATTATGCTTTGTCAGCAAAGTTTTTACGTACGTAACACTGAAAAGGTAGGAAAAATAACCTTGCCTGAATCCAGAATGCACCGGTGGTGTTGACTCCAAGCTCCCTGCTGAAGTAGTCCTCTATCAGGTCTTGGAAGTCTCGAAGGGTCCCACGAGATGGGACACACTTGGGGAACTACAAGTGCAAACGATTAGTACTCTATGTGAAGCCATTTGCCTTGTTCATAAACACTTTGCATCACGAGAAAATATGCGGTTTCGTTGAATGTATCCTTTGAAGCGATATGCAACGGTCAAAACAAAATTTATCACACAGCTTGAGATTTATTCACACCACAAAAGCACTAAAGCTCTTGATGAATAACTATGATATATTTGATGTGCAAAAGTTATTTTGAAAATATTTCAGGTTTCCAAGAGCTTCAGAGAGGAGCTAGTGACCTTCCTTCAAAAGGGCGTAACTGCTGCGGATATCAGAAAAGCACTTCGCCTTCATACCCTAGGCGAGTATTAGCTCGGCATTGCTCAGCATCTTCTGGGCTTCTTAATTTCGCCTTCCAGTTGCTCGTTTGCCTCACTTTGCTGGGACCACTGGAATCACCCTGACTTGCAATCTTTGCATGTGGCTCTACCAAGGCGTCTGCTTCTAGCTTTTCTATCGCTTGTGGGATCCCTTCACTGCTCTAATTGGTTCTTGGTTTAGGTGAATTGATTCCGGACTGCAACCGAACCTTTCTTAAAACAACATTATAGCCCAAAGGCCATTGATGCTGGCATCTGAAAGACTGACTTGCTCTTGCAGCATGTGTCGGTCCTCGCAAAACCTCTCTCCATGTCAGCATTGCCATGTGAGAGGGACAGAAAAGCTTTCAGAAGTGCTCGTAATAAAAGGTACTTGAGGGCCCATCCTTCAACCTCTGTTCAAAGATCTGCCAAAGGTCAACAGAGAGATGACACGCCTGACAGGCACACGGGACGATGCCGATGTCCGAAATGTGGGCCCAGTATGTCTGAAATAATGTAAGAAATTTTCATTCCTCTTCAAGCAAACAAGCCCTTTGTAATACCAGAGTCTGGAAGTATGAGGGGAAAAATGATGGAGGCTCTGTGTCTCCAGGAGTGCAATATTTCTGACAATGGAGTGCTGAGAACAACATAGGCAACAACATGCTCAGTCTCCTACTGATCTGGGCAAGTGGTTTGTTCAGAGACCTCACTATACCCTTCATCTTGCTGAGGTAGCTTTTGAAACAAAATGCGCTGAACGCCATGAACAAGGCACTCTTCTGCCAAGTGACCAACTCTGTGGATGTTATAGAACAGCTCAGGTCCATAGAGCCTCCCAAACTCTCGCACAAAGTAGTGAAGTTCTTTTGCATAGGCATTGTAACGAACATTCAAAGTTGGTGGTGTGAGAATTTTTATTGCCACATGAACAGCAATGAAATGTTTCTAAAGGTCTTTTGGAAGAATCCCCTTCAGGACAACTGGCCCGAGGTAAAGAAGAAAAGCCCCGAATTCTTGTGGCCTTCCATCGTTCATGCTCCTCGACACCCCGAGGCTTCCGCTGGAAGTGCTGAGGAAAGCGTGGTGCACAGCTGCAAAGCCTACTGCTCAGCTTCTGCTTCTGAGCTCGAGTCAAACGTCTGCGACCACATATCCAATTCCTTCGCATACGGCGCATTATGCCAAGGCAAACTAAGTGCATATAATCCAGAGGGAAGAGATTCACCTTGTCAAAGATGAGGGAGGTAAATTGCGTTGTGCCGGCGTAGTGCGCCGGTGTTGTGCCGGTGTGGTGCACCTGATCGTCTTGTGATCGAAATAACCCGTCAGTCCTAAGTGGTGTATCCTGCTCGGGGGAGGTCATTCTTTGCTCTACGAAGAGGCCATTCGTTGAGGCTTTTTCGTAGAGCGAAGACTCCATTCAGCTCACAACCGTTGTACCCATTGTGTGATTTGATCCTTTTCACAAAGCTGTGTGCTGGAGCATCGCACATTACAGCCGTCAGTTGCTCGTCACTGTGTGATCCTTCAGGCAAGAGACTACCCTGAATGAGCTCCTGCGTCTCCAAGAGGAAAGGTCCCAGAAATGCTTCAAGGTTGGTTGGCTTTCCCCTGCCACAGAAGAGGCTCGCGATGAATGGCGTCGAGTTTGCACTGTTCATCACTCTGCAAAGGATGGGCCAAAAGCCAACACTCAAACTCTTGAAAAGAGGCAGGCCGTTGATGTTCGCTTGGAGGGTAAGCTTCTCGGCCGTTTGCCTCAATAATGCCCTTCTTCAGTCCGAAGTGAATGAACGTGCTCTCCTACTGAAGGATTGCTCTCCGCTCGGTGTCTAAGATTGTCCGTGCATCTCTAGGCACGTCATGCCCTAGCTTTGGAGTACGGCGGCGAAAGCGTTGACAGTACCATTGGACAATCCACATGGTCGTGCAGCCGTCGCTAGCTCCTCAGTGGCCGAGGGCGCAGGTTCCAGCAGGAACGCAGCCGTAATGCCAGCACGTGAAATACTTGGCACACTTACCATAGGGTCTACATGCTGCTCACAATCGTCACCGCTGTGGCTGTCACTTTCCTCCGTGCTGCTGATGTCTGAAGCAGTGATATCGCTACTGCTTCGGCGCTGCTGCTGGCATCGGAGCTGGAAGAGGTGCCACGGGAACTTTGAAAAACTGGGGGCTGCGAAGCCGACTCATGAGCAGTCAAAATAACAGTCGAAGCAGATACGATCTCTTCCACAATCTCCTCGCACTCTTGACTGAGAGTTTGCGCTCTCTTCCACCTAGAAGCCATCTCAAAAACTCGAAATGGGGTAAAAGAAAACAAGGCATTCACGACACTTTACTCTCAGTTGTGCCTGACTTGAAGTTCTGAGTCGAGCACGGCTCCAGGAAGGACGGACCAAAAAAAAAAAAGAAGCAAAATGGAGGTATTTTCCAAATAGTACAACTCGCTGGTTTGGGATTGGGGCGGTACCGGTCTACTGGTAAGATCCTACTGGGGTGACACTGGAGACTCCCCGTGGGGCGACAAAGTGCCAGTGAGAATGCCAGTCACTGGCCCGCAATGTGGACCCATCAACACACCGTTTCACTGGGTGGACAACCTTGTCCCAGTTACCTGCCAGCGTGTCTCCCCGGCGTGCTACCTCTGGTACAGTAAAACACCAGAGAGTACCAGTGAGTGCCAGCTTACTTGTGAGTCAGTGACAGTGAGTGCCAGCTTATTTTCCAGTCAGTGACATCAAGTGCCAGCTTGCTTGCCAGTCAGTGGGATCATGCGTACCCGGCACAGAACCACAAGAATAAGAGTTTGATCTGCTAGGCATGCCTGGTATACTTAACATACCGTAATATCCCGAGTCATCGCCTACCCCCCTACCGCCTGAAATTCATTAAAAAAGTGTGGTGGGCCATGTCTCGGTGGGTGAGCACAAACACTTGAAAAAAGCGTAAAAAAATGCCTATTTTTCTCTGCGTATCTAGCGCTGATGCACAAGAGATATTTCAAACTCAAAACTCGATTTAGTTTCATTGTTTTATAGAAAAAAAATGCTCACGAAAGAATATTTTACCATAGCGAAGTCCGTTGCTTGCATATGCGCTAGAAACACCGCCGATCTGCATATAGCGCGAACGTTTGTTCCGTGAAAGAATGTCACCACTATGTTCTCCTAGTTAGTAAAAAAAAAAGAAAGAAAAGTCTACAAGAAAATAGAAAAACCGACCAGGCGCAACGAGCAAGCGAGCGAGCAAGCGGATCAAAGAAGCGACCAAGAGCAATGCTGGGAAAGCGGGAAAGCCGGCGGTCGCGTTGGCAAATACTTTGGCGTCGGGCCAAGTCGGGCGCCTTGTCAATTGCAAGCTCTTGCGCAACTTTCTTGTTTGATGCATACATACGTGCGTCCGTACATACGTGTGTCCGTGCACGGCGGGCTATCAATGCACGGTTGGGACGCTCTGCAAACGTCTGTGTAGGGCGTTCCAGCAAAGCTTTATTTATGCGTTGGCTTTGCCTAAAATATTGCACAACCACGGTCGCGTCGGGCGGGAAGAAGGAGCGGGTTCGCGGTGACCTTACTTCGGCGGAGACAGACTTTGACCTAACACTCTGCGGT